AAGTCTATTGTTACATTAACTTGTATTAATGTATTTGTATTGTTGTTTTTTTTTTTTCAAAGCGGTTTTCATCCAAATTATGACTTGTGGTATTCTGATTCTTAAAAGAGAGTATTTGTACAAAAGGATCATTCTTACATCCACTGTTATATTTAGGCTGGTTAGCCAGGATTAGACACGTGTTTGTTACTGCATATACAGGATTTTGTGGGTGTCTTTGGCCTTTATAAAATACAATATGTAAAAAGTAGACAGCAGCGCTAAAGGAAGATGCTGACAGTTTTAATTTTTGGCTTATACGAGTGAAAAAAACAACAATAAAATCATATTAAAGAAAATTAAGTGAAAAAAACCCCATGGAAACCCATTCAACATCAATGAAACTCAAACTAGGGCTACAATCTTATAGCGAGGGTGATGTTTATGCCATAGAACTCGACCCTGCAGGGTCAATGTATTTTTAGTTTGTCTATCATGCGAAAATGGTTATTCACAGTACTTTTGCATTTAACCTAGTTGTAGCTAGTTTGAAATGCTTTTGAAACAAGTTTAATTACCAGTTGATCAATATTAAAAATATGTACAATGATGTCATACTTGTATGTGGCAACATGGAGGTATACAAACCAGTCACTCACTCGTCGCAAATCATGTTTCAGAGATAATGACCAATACATGCTGGAATGTCAACATTTTTGAAATCTATTTTATAGCACTAAACTAACCTTTATATATCTATACATCATGCTATGATGTTATTTTCCCAATTTTCAATGTTTCAACGAGTTGGTGGTAGTTTGTGCTTGAGAAATGCCTGAAATCATAAACTTTAAAGGCTGATTTCTCAAATATTGTCCATCAAACAGCTGTATGTTTAAATGCTTGTAACTTCATAAGGAAATGTCGGATTTTGATGATTCTTTTACCATTTTATAGCTCTCATTTTATTGTTCAACCCTGTATTACTATTAATAACTAAATTTTTGAGAAGAGTGGCTGGTTTGGCTCAACTTTGCCACTTTTTGTATGCACATCTTTAATATGGTCTTTGCTTGGACTAAAGTTTGAAGAAGACCCAAGCACAGAAAGTGATCAAAGTGCTAGACAGAAGAAACCTGTACAAAAACATAGGAAAATGTGATAGAAAAACCAGAACAAAATCCATGTCTTTTCCACTGGAATAAATTTAATTTTATCCTGTTTCGTGTACATCACATTTTTAATACACCTAATACGATTTTTACAAAATTTTTTCAAGTTAATATGGTATGCACAGGGGACCAACAGCTTTAGCATCAACAAGTTCAGTTCACAATTAGTGGCTACCACCACCTATTTAGGAGACTGAGTTATGCTTGTCAGCTATGCTTGCTTCTTAACGCACTGTTGTTACAGTAGAACTTTCTGTGACTTGTATGATTATTGATTTGCCATATTGATGGGCTTCAAGGGATAACATTGGATTATATCAAGGGTCATTGGTACAAACAGAATCTTATGTTGTCAACGGAATGATATGTAAACATGAAAATTCCAATAAATGTAGCCCAATTTATTATTTGTATAGTAGGAAACAATAATTTTATGGAGATCTAAAGCAGAATTCAATGAATTGTATTAAACAAAAAAGAAAATCCACAATAACTATAACAAGTCTGACGAATCCATTTGTTTTAGTTGCCTGTTTTCATCTACTGTATCTTTGGATGGTTTGTATTTTAAATAAGGTATAGATATAAGATAATTTATTCAATGTTACATGAAATAAATTTTCTTATTGAAATAATTATCAATAAAAACTGGGCTTCTTTTTGAGATGAGCTTCTTTTTCAAGGCTACTTTTGCAAAGTAAAGAGAAGGGGGTGGGGGCGGGAGACTTCTTTTCAAAATTGAATGCTGTAAATTTTGTAAATTTGTGCTATTGAACAAATTAAATAAGGCCAACTGTAACATCAATCTGTATCATGGAGTGTATTTAATTTATCTTGTTTTTTGGAATTTATGTATACAGTAGAGTATGTACTGTACTATCTTGAAAAGAAGCCCATGGGCTTCTTTTCAAGGTTAATTTTGCCTAAAAAAGGAAAGCTTCAATTCAAGATGAGCTTCAATTCAAGATGGGCTTAATCTTGAGATTAAGTCTACTAGGCTTTAATTTGAGGTTTTATAGTATTTAATTGTTTAATTATATATATTTGCTCTTAAATCTTCTTTGTTATGTAATTTGAAATAAGATTTTGATTTAATTTTTTAGTTTTGTTGATCATTAATACGTTGAATTACTCATCACAATATACCTGAATTTTATCACCTTTTTCACTGTATTGATTTTTATAGTCCCTAGGCGCCCCCGAAGAGACCCCCCCTACCCATAGGGTCTTCTATCTAACACCATGACCCAAAAAGGCTTTGTTGTTACATTATGGAAACCCAAACCCAAAAGGAGTTCTAGTCTGAAAAAAAGCCACACGACCCCCGGCCCCATCATTACACCACTGTGTGTAAATGTTTGTCTTGTGAAAAGGATTGTCACTAATAAGACAGTGGATAAGTACGCCAATCTTTTGTGCCTAAACAGTGAATTAAACAAAATTACAATAATAATTTATTATGATAGTTTACTATCCCATAAATTCTTTGAAAAGGCATTGGCAACATCCACCCCATGCACTCACAGGCTGCCCCTTATTTCCATCTACTCATAGACCTACAGTATACGAGTACAGCATATACTGTACTTGGAATATAGACTACAGTAATAATAACTTTGATGGTTTTCAAAATTGTAATTCGATCCCTCCTAGTCATTTACTAACAAATTATTGTTTGGGGAACAATATCTAATCTTCAATGCAATTTTAAATTCTCATCCTTAATTTGATATGGATGCTAATATGCAATCGGTTTCCACCTTACAATCACCAAAAAAAATGATTGTGTTAAAAGAAGCTTGCAAAAGTATTAACAGTGATTGCAGATACAGCTGTATGATTTATTATTGGTTGCATATTCATAAATAATTTTTTTTTTGTCATTGCTGATGTTTAATTGTAGAGCATAAATACAGCATGTAATTTTCTGATAATTTAAAAGATAAATCTTAGAAAAAACAGCTATATATGTACTTAATTCTATTTTGATAATACAATCAGATGATATATTTTAAGTTTAATAAAGTTATAGAGTCAAAAAATGCAGAAAGCTTTCAGATTAAACAACACCACTGACATGATAATTTTAGCAAAGCAGACAATTTTGAATAGTAGGGTATTAGCATCACTATTCCTCTAGAACTTTATCATCATCATCCTTATCCTTATCATCATCACCATCTTAATAATTACCACCATCATCATTTATAACCATTGTAAATCAGCAAATGTCTTCATAATTTATCATCCTCATTTTCATCACCATCATCATCTTAATTATCATTATCATCATCATTTTCTTCATTATTTTCATCATATTTATCATCATCGTCATTGTTGTCATTACCATCATCTTTGTCATCATTATCATCATCATCATTATTTATCATTATTGCCTTCATCGTTACCATCATTACAATGCCTTCATAATTTATCATCCTCATTTTCATCACCATCATCATTTTAATTATCATTATCATCATCATTTTCTTCATTATTTTCATCTTATTTATCATCGTCATTGTTGTCATTACCATCATCATCTTTGTCATCATTAGCATTATCACCATTATTTATCATTATCGCCTTCATCGTTACCATCATTACAATGCCTTCATAATTTATTATCCTCATTTTCATCATCATCTTAATTATCATCATCATCATTTTCTTCATTATTTTCATCATATTTATCATCGTCATTGTTGTCATTACCATCATCATCTTTGTCATTATTAGCATCATTGAGCATTGGGCGTAAAGTAAGGGGGTGGGCTTATATGCTAGGTGGGCTTATACCTGAGAAACTATAGTAATAATATTAGTTTTATTCAACATGGAAAAACTTGTTTCAACAAAAATTGTTCTGTGTAGGAAATGAACAAAAATATTAGCAAATTAAAATTAGCAATAGTTAACCAAGAAAAATATAGTAAATAAGGTTACCATTAACTTTAATTTGTATAATTTAAAGAAAACATGAAAATGCATAAATTATTCTTAACTTGGGAATGTCAACATTTTGTAACAATGACCTTATGATCATCATCACAGTCATGCATAAGTTATCGTGTCATAGTTTAGAGATGTCGATTAGAGTATGTTATTACTGTATTTAAATAATATTATTTTTGGCTTATATTATTTTTGCTATCCTTGTATAAATATCTCAAAGTCTATCAAGTTTGTGTTTAGCTCATTGGAAGCTGAAACATTCACAACAATTAACATTACTTTACTCTGTTTCCACCAGGGATGGATTCAAAGAAAAATCTGAGAGGTCATGTGATGTGCAAAGCACTGAGCCATGGGGGATGGGGAGGGGGTCTGTGGAGATTTGTGTTTAGAAATGCTTAACCATAGAAACAGTGGTGCATGGAATTTAAATCGAAAATAAACTTGTTTTTAAGTACCAGGCTCTACTCTTTGCCTTTCTTTTCTTTTCTTTTTGGAAATGGGGATCATCACCTGCCCACATTGGTTTTGTATGAATATTCAGCGTAGACAGAAAAAACAGAACATTCATGTTGTATGTGGTACCCATTTCAATTCCTGAGAGAAAAGACATAAATCTAGCAAATGTTTTGAACTATAACTTTACAGTGCAAAAGCTAAATATTGAATCTTAATTTTTTACTTTTTTTCATCATTTAATCATAATTATTGCAGTTAAATATCATCATGTAAATAATTTAATAAATTAGTGCATGGTTTGGATTATTTTCCTATGCCAAACCATGCTTTAATTATTTATTCTGTTTACTATGACATCATGAAGAATATTTTTCTTGGCAATATAAAATGATTTTTTTTTTTTTTTTAATTTGTCTCATGTTCATTTTCCTCTAGATACTCTGGTTGGTGTAAATCAAATGCTCCGAGTCAGTTAACAATGGCTAATGACATATGGGATATAATTGGACGGTAAGTTCATGTTGTTATTAAACTGCTCAAACATAAGGGCCTGTTTCTACTGAAAATCGAAGAAGTTCCGACCATCTTATAATTGGTTGGGAATCATATTCCTGAACAAAGAATTCATTGCAACTCAATTAAACTCTACATAGGAACAGATTTCAATGGATACATAACATGGATACATAACATAATCATCATCCAGAACACAATTTGAAATGACGGAAGTTGTTTACTTCCGTGAGGATTTATAGGCCCAAATGATTCATATTAATAGTTAAATTTAATTTCTAACATTTGGCATATTCTCAACCACCGACATGTGAACCCATGTTAGGTATTTCCTCCTGATATTCTGGTATACAATGGTGTTCTATCTACTCTCTAACGAAAAGGCTTCCCACTATTTCCTTCCTTCAAAGCTGCAACATATTTTGTAGTTTTTGTCTGTTCTCATCTTGATACATGATGAAATCAGCCCGATGAAATGGTGGGTCACCTACATTTTTTATTAAAAGGTCAGCCTTTATCGACCTGTAGGTCAAATTGACACCCTGTTTGGTTGCAGCAAAAACCTATCTCACAAAGAGCAGTCCATTTATAGGATAACCATTCTTTAAGATGTCAAAAAGAAAAGATTCTTAATTTTTTGGAGCCATTTCTGCTGCCACAAAGAACTGCTCTTCTTGAAGCTCTGTCCAGATTATCAAATTTTCTTTGACACAAAACTGTTGTATGCCCATATATGGTCATGACGTGCCCATATATGGTCATGATATGATGTCACATGTTTTTGTTAAATAAAATTTGAGTCTTTACGGGGCTTAAAACAGTTCTTTCTTGCCAAAAACTTGGTTCTGTTATTTTGGTAAAACATATGTTAGTTTTAGTTGTTCAATACATGCAATCTCCCAAGCGAAAGAAGAATGTTGTTGTTGCATTAGCTTAGCTACTGATTCACTTTTTTTTTTTAAGTGTAATTACGTACAAGTGTTAAAATAGTCTGTATGTAATACCATTTAAATCCGCACGTTCGTTTTATATGCGTCCCTCTTCTAAGATCCTACTAAAAGCCGTGAATATTTCATTAGCGATTGTAAAGTTAATGTAAAGCTTTTATTGGCAGACATTATCTTGCTACGATGAAATAATAAATAATACAAAGCAATGGCGCTTTTCCACGTAGCATTTTAAGACTTTGTAAATATTTTAAAAATTATACTATAGTAGCTTTTAATTAGAATTTAGTTCATATACTTTTTAATAAATATTGTCTCCAATGATTATATTTCATTCTTTACTGTAACAGAGCACATCAATTCATGATTGAATTAATCTTTGGATTTTTCAGATTTAGAAATGCAGTATAAATTTTACAATTCAGTAAAATTAAATTTTATTTATTTAGATTTTTTTTTAGCTGGATAACAAGAAGTTAGTTACAACATTAAAAGAATTGAGGAATGAGTGAAAATATAAATACAATGAAAACCATAATGAGCATAAAGTACTTTTTTAATGAGAAAGCAAGTCTAATAGACATTCTGTCCAGACTGGGTGAGACTTTTGTTAAACCCTTGTTGTTTAGCAAAAACCCGCCGCCCGCCAATAATTGTATTGAATAAAAAAAAATTATTTTTGGCAAATTAGCCAACCAACTCCAACAAAAAAAAATGGAAATTTCAGAAAAAAATACGCCCACAGCTGCCTTGAATTCTCCAAAAATATGATGTATATTTATTCTTAATTATATAAATTTAAAGCATTTAACCATATACCTTGTTTAGCAAACCTGCAGGTCTTAAAAAAAGTAAGTTTAGGAAAAAGGTATAAAATAGATCAGATACCGTAAAACCTTGAATATAGAAGTCCAATGGGCTTAATCTTGAGAAAAAGTCCATCTGGAATTGAAGCCCCATATTTAGTTTGCAAAAGTAGTCTCAAAATTTCAAGATACACACTTTACTGTACATGAATTTCAAAGAAACATAATAGATTAATAACATTCTTAGTTTATACAGTAGTTTAGGTGATTTAATGCCGGTTAATACACTCCGTGATACAGATTGGTGTTACATTGACCCTATTGTACGGTACAGTAGTTGTTTGCAAAATTTACAGCATTCATTTTGAAAAGAGTCCCCTTCTTTACTTTATAAGAGTAGCCTCAAAAAGAAGCCCATCCAAAGTTAGCAAAAAAAAAGAAGCCCAGGGCTTCAATTCAGTTTGTGTAGAGAAATACAATCTTTGTTTAATAATCCATACCTGATTCACACGATGCATCCCCTTTTAGAAAAACTTAAGTTCGCATTCCCTTCCTTGTCAAACATGCTTTCACATTGAAAAACTTCATTCGTGTTCAACCCAAATATGGGCTTGATGATGTCACATCACACCTACTGTATAAATGGACAAATCAAATGTACTGTCAATTAAATCTAGACAGATAGGTTTGATTTGTATCTGCCAGTTTTATGTGACAGATACTTTGGATTGTCCATTTATCTGTCTCAATAAAATTGGACAGAGCTTTAAAACCTATTCAGTGGTCACAGTCATATAATAATTTTAAGTGTGAGAATGTAACCCTATTATAGGCAGAACATATATTTGTCACAGACAAATTTGATAGTATAAGTTGAGCATCAGGTAAAGGGAGAATTAGGGCAAATTGCTATAAATGGTCTGTACGCTTTGTGGCCATAATTGTGACATGGATAATGGTCAATAACTATTGACCTTTTACTATGCTTTTGTCTAATCAGTTGAGCTCTCTATTTTTAATGTCTGTTAATGAGCTATAAATGCAACTGTCAGTCTTAGACAATGGGGATAAAATACTGAATTCTTATTTAAAAAAAAAAAAATTAAATACAGTGGAAACCCATGCTTACATGACCTACATATTATACGCCAGTCTTTGTTTAGAAAACTATTCCTAGAAATGTAATTATATTCGGCAATACTTTTGCTACGTGCTTACCCGAGTGTGTGTGTGTGTGACACAACCCTTTTATTGATAATACGTACATTAGCAATCATAACCATAGTTCCCATGGGATGTTTGTTTTTCGATGCTCGACTCATGCTTTAGCTGTTTTATAGTCAGTGGGTAACTATCGTAAGACCGTGTATGTACAGTTAGTAGAAGAAAACTGGCTGTAAATGACCAGTTGAGACTAGTTGTTTAAGACAGTTTTATAGCCACTCTGCCCCAGTGCTATAGTAAATATATTTTCTGCATAGATTTTAGTATTTATTTGAATATTGTTAATAAAATTTGAAAAATTTTGAATGATTTAAAATATGCTAGGATTACATTGCTTACCAGGTACACTTGATACAGTGTAATGAATTATTTTCATACTTTCAACTTTCATAATTCAAAAGAGCCTCTTACTGTTTCTTGACACTTTTATGACATGAAATTATACTATACTTTTTTTTAGCTAGACAATAAAATTCAGTATTTTAATTGCTTACTCTGTATTTAGGAAAGGTATCTTTCATAGATTAATATATTTTGCTTGCCAAATCAACATAATTTTACCGATTTCTATTACAAAATTCTCATAGTACAATGCACATTTGGTTTTTGAATAGCAAATACCTACTGTAAAGATAATACTGTAGTTACTGAGATGGGAGCATTTTAAGCTTAGATAGGAACCTGGTTTTTGGTAAAAACATTTCCAAAGATAAACTAATCTGTATAAATAATAAGACTAGAAATATGCAATATGTGCAAAGGACGCTTTTATAGCAAGAAAATTTATTCAAAAAGTAAACTATCAAACTACACTGAAAAATGTTGAAATTATTATTAATAATTAATAAAAATGTTGATTTTGTCTTATTTTGGTGATTGATCTTTAACCAACAAAGCATCTTATTTCATGGTGAGGCCTCATATATTGTTTAATTCTCTTGTGGTATTGAGCCTACAGCATTTAATTCATATTCAACTTATTTTTATTTGGCACGGTGCCACGAAAATGCTTTTCATGTATTTTAATAAATGTGTGTTTCATTACTGATGGCAAATACAGTGAACTTGAACTTAAAGTTTGTTTGATTCTACTCCAGATTCGCTTGAACTGCCTTAAATTAGTTGGAAAAAAAATGTTTCTTATCCATTTTGTTTTTAAATGAGGAAGATATTTCTTCTTTAAGGTCTGATTAAACTACAGTCAGTGGCCGCGCAGTTCAAGCCTCCTACCGGCCAGAGCTCATCGGGCAGTCGGACCAAAACAAAAAACAAAAAACAGGCCTAATGAAATGAAATGCGTGTTTGTTGAGTTGAGTGTGAGAGTATAGTAACAATTGTATTTTATCTACTTTACATTTAAAAGTATTTTACAAATCTGAGAGTGCCATTTACAACCATCCAGATCTCCCTTGTGTAAAAAAAATTCATTATTAGGGAGGGAGGACACCCCACATCCAAATCCTGCCTAGGGACCTCAGATGGCACTGCATCTAACTCAGCCCCTCCTGTCAGACAGCTTAGCTATACTATGAAAAATTTGTGTAATTTGCCCATATAAGGGCATTATGATATTATCACACTCATATGGGCTAGAAAAAAAAAAAGAAGCATTTATCACATACAACTTGATACAGTTGTGTGGACCAGAGCTCAGTCCAAACAGTGGATGAGCAAAGTAGATACAAGGACGAATCATAGTTTAACAAAAATTATTTTACCAAGTTTATGATTCCTTGATTATAGTAATTACTATTTATGTGGAGATTTTATTTCTAGCTTGGGCTTGTTAGTCTGTTTGTTTATTATTTATTGCCCTCATAATATCAAAACAAAAAAACAAGTACATAAAAACACACAAAAATGAGAGCAAGAGGATAACCCTATAGCTGTTTTTCCATAGTGGTCCTCAACCAATAAAAAGAGAAGCAAATTGAAAAAAAAAAAAAATGTTTTTTAAGTAAATATTTAAATGTATTATGGTTTTCAATTTACTTTAAACTATTTTGCTATTCATTCCATTATAGTAAAATGTCTTATCAACTTTTGATGAGAATTTTTTGGAAACATAACATAAAATTTTTGGTGTTTTGGAAAATTTTGGCTGGTGTTTTGGAAATAAGTTTCTGCTGATAAAAAGTGCAGCTATTTATGTTGATTTTCTGAATAAGACTAGGTATACATCTTATAAGTAAAAATGTCTTAATAGAGGGGAATGATTGTCCCTACACCATCTCTTCTATGGTCTATGGACTTTGCCACTTCCCTTTCTTGGTTTGTGAGATACTGGAAAAGCAATCATAGAAAATTACAACTAATAGACAAATTACAAAATGACTCATTGCCCATTGCCTCTCAAGTGAAATACATTACCGGTTTACTACCAGAACCATTAAAGATAGCATGGTCACGAGTGTTTACTAAAGATCTGTCTCTTTTACGCAATCAATTCTCGATATCGGGGCAAATCTTAAGTACTCCTGTTAAGGTTGATGAAACGATCTAGGCTGTATTTTTATGCATGCAAGTTGCATGTTCCATAGAATTATAGTTATTATCCACTATGCTTATCCTCTTAGTTCAACTCTATATTCTATTGATTTCACACTGCTTTTTGCATTTGTAGATGAACCATACTACTGCAGGTTGTCAGTATATGTAAAGTAATGTTATAGGTAGGCTAATGGTATTTCTGTACACCATACATTAAAATATGAATTATTCATCTACACTAATACTCTACGTTTTGCAAGGCATTATGCATTTATGCATCCATCTGACGTAAGGTACGACCAGATTCTGTCATCTCTGCTTCATTTACAGTCCAATCCATGATTTATTTTATAACAATAATTTTAGTTTTTTTAAATTTTCATAATTTGATATGCAAGATAATGAAGAACGTCCCCATTTTGACATATTTGATGTAAAAATATAAACAATAATTCATTGTTACCTTAGGGGTCGGTCACAATTATCAAAATTTTCACAAGTGTACAAACAGTACGCTAGGACGGAGGTGGTTGACAGATTTGTACACTTTGACATGTGGATGAAAATGTTGATTCAAAATACAAAATTTCCCTGACCAATTATAATGCAACCATGAATATAAGTCATTTTATGAAACCATACTTTAGTTCACATCACACAAAAATGTAGAATGGTTTTGAAAAATCAGCATTGTTTATGTACATTTTCATAGTGGAGGGAGGGGATACCAAGCAAAAATATGGTTTGTACACCTTGTGTACAAAAATGTTGATAATTGTGAATGACCCCTTAATAAAATGAAATTTAAAGCTAAAATTGCGTTTGTTTTGACAAAGAATACAAAACTGGTGTGACTTGGCGAAAAGTTTTCTCTTACCTACTTTCTTTTAGAATTGTTTCTAAAGATATTGATGAACCATGATTAGCTAAATAATACGTGGCACTTTAATGAATGAAGTTCGTTTTTCTCATGCAGTTTAAAGGAAGAATACCTTTATAATAGTAATTAAATTGTTTACAGATTCATGATGTTTTCTTTATAATTTCATCTCTATACAGAGTTAGTCAACCAGAATGCAGAGTTGAATTGAGAGATGCCTACTGTGCATTCCACATGAATGGCACCGGTGGTTGCATACCACCCGTGTTTACCAAGAAATTTACAGTAAGTTCATATGTCAAAAGCTATATTAAAATCATAGTTGTTCTTCCTCTCTTGTTCTCACAAACTTCACAACTATGTAATTAGCTATATTGTAAACAGAATTATAATACTGTACCGCTGTGCTCAATATAATTTGATTTCATGCTACATTCAGCCCGGAATATGACAGTATCTTAAATTTATTTATAGTAACTTTCTAGCAAACATCAGTTTTATTATAAGAAGCACAGCAAAAATGGTTAGCTTGTTAGCAACATTGTAATAATAACATCATAGGTTTTGCATGATTCAATATACTGAACACTGTAGTGCTATAGTAAACTTTAACATTTATTGCTTTAATACTTCATTTGAAAATCAGAACAAGAAAATATTTTCTTTGCCAAAGATAACAGGACAAAAAAATTAGCATTTCTATTTAAATTTTTGTAGTTCTATAAAATTTTCACTTCATGCTACATTCAGCTTGGAATATGACAGTATCTTTTTATGTTAATTTATTTATTTTTGCTAACTTTCAAGCCAACATCTATCTATCTATCGTATGCACAGCTAAAATGGTTAGCTTCATAGCAACATAGTAGATTTTGTATTAATTTAATATACTGTACACTATTTGTGTAGTGCTACAATAAACTTAACATTTTATTGCTTATTTTGTATATTTGAAAACCAGAACAAGACAATATTTTCTTTGCCAATGTAATACTAAATAGACATAAATTTAGCATTCCTATATTTTTTTATACATTAAAATTGGCTGGTAATCAATTCTTGTATTTTTTGTAGCATCCTACAGCTTGTACAGTTTTGGGTTGTGTCTCATCATTACTTAAGCTCTCAACTTTTTTTTTTTTTTTTTTGGTTTTTCAGGATGG